CAGCTTCCAAGCGTTTACAACTCCAGCCGTTTTGGTGTTGCTTGTCGTTGGCGATATGAGAATTTGAAATTGGCAAGGCAACTACGTGGCGCACAACTTTTTGTACGCTCTTAGTGAGGCAGTGTAAATTCACATATTCCAGGTCTCACTAATAACAAGCTATATGTCTTACTACCCCCAGTTCTCCCTTTCTACAGCCCTCTAGACCTCTGAGTAGCAATTTCCTGTCTTTGCTCTGCAAGTGAACAGAAGCTGTTTCTATTCCGCTAAGAGAGAGCAGACAAGCAGAGCACTCTCCTGTCGGCTACTCTTTTCATTTACTAACATAATACACTTTTGATGTTCCTCTCAGCCTTGGCTTCCAAAAAGTGCACCTCGTGGGACATCTTGACGCGCATGCGCGTCAAGCCGAGCGCGCCCGCCAAAACGCTTATGTCCCACGCGGCCGAAAAATCCAAAATGCGCGCTGTCGTCAATGGGTTAGGAACCAAGGCCAGCATTGCAGAGCCAAGAGAGATGGCTACGTGTTTTCTACGTACGCCTCGTTTAAATGTCTTCCACCTCTAGAAAACAAAGTTGAAGAGGAGCTCCATTCCGGCGATCAAGGCTCGTCTTGATATCAAGAAATTTGTGCATATGTTATGTACATGCAAGTGAGTAGGGTCCTTTTATAGAATTTTTGGAATATCGTGGTTAGTTACTAGTCGAATAGCCATTCTTACGTCGGGCTCTCCCTCTTTCTGCTTCGTATTCTGGATACCCAGCTAAAAAAACGGTCACCGAATGCCGGTCAACTCTAGCAGTCAATAAAGGTTGGTATTGATTCACGATATCGATCTCTACCATCGATTACATGTAGTGGGATCCATGATATCTAACGTCATTTGGCTTTGTCTATCTGTCCATACGTACAGACAGATAACAAAGCCCATTGAATGTTAGAATCATGCATATTAGTACCAATATGAGTACATAATGATAACACAATGATAGCAGCATCTGACTTCAGGGTTCAGCTGTAATTTTGAGTTACAGGGGCGGCATGCGGTTGCAAGTTTTATGGATATTGCTAAGCCTTTACTCGACAGTTCTCTGCACTTTACTAGCTCAGGTTATCATCACATGCGCCAAGAAAAAGGTTAGTTGCTCACTCCTTCACCCACGCAGATGAAAAACGATGTCTCAAACTTGTTATTGAAGTTGTGTATTGAAAGCTGCAGTACGTTAGAGAAGCGGGGGGCAGCATTGCAATTCACAATCAAAACAAAAAGTGCCTCTGTATCCAATTCATCGGTGAATCATCTCATTGTCGCGAGCTGCTGGCGTTTGGCTGTGTCGTTTCATGTTGTAGGTCAAAGGTCGTCATGAATTGACCAGTTTAAAATAAACTCTTCGTGGTTCTCTTATGAAACAAAGGAGCAGTGAGTCGGACTTCTGCCCTCTTTTGCCCCTCTCACTAAGAAGGTGCTAATACTTCAATGATCACTATCCGACCGAACATACCGCTTACACTAGCTATGAAAGCAGCAACAGCAAGCCCTCCTAAGCTACCGGCTCCTTTATCGGACGATTTGACTGGGGGATAGTTACAGACACCGCATTTGATTTCCTTCAAACCCATGGTGCATTGTTAGCAGCGCATCATTTCAATCCTGCTGTTCATACAGTCGTAATACACCGTTTAGAAGCATGTGTTCTTCCCGCGATATGAGTATCAGTGGGAGTCATTCAACATGCTGTAGAAATGGTAATGGTAGGATCGTCCCAACACTAACAGATGGAGATGAGGGGCGCTGCTGCACGCCAAGGAAACGAATTTGTCCACAAAGCGGAGAATTGAGAGAAACCGTCCATCTACCCGAATGCGCTTTTAATCCCAGTCTAGCAACTTCATAACCCACTGCAGCGCGGCTGTGAATAGCATTGGCAAAATAGTGTCGCCTTGTCTCATACCCTTCCATATGGGAATGGCGAGAGGTTGTTGCAATAACTGCACTGTCGCACTACAGGGATTGTTGAAGTCAGCCACAGTTCTCACGGGAGGCTTCATCCCGTGATCGGCCAGTGCTGACAGAACCGCATTCGTTTGGATACTGTCAGAAAGCTTATTCATAATCGATAACGGTGAGGAAAAGGGGCATATAGAACTCTCGGCACACTTCGATGGCCATTACGACTGCTTGAATGTGATCCGAGCAGCTGGATCCCTTCCGAAATCTTGCTTTCAGCAAGTTGAGCTTCACGCAAGATTCGCGATATGCGGGTCAGAATGGTCTTCGTGAACAGCTTGTAAAGGACAATCGACAGGCTCATTGGGCGGTAGTTGCGGTGATGGCTCCGATCTTATTCTTTGAGAAGAATGACCGTCCGCGATTCCTCCACTAGTTGGGCGTCCTTTGCTTTCTGGGGTCAGGATGTCATGTGTTGCGAGAAGTTATGAAGTTCGTGACCACCTGCACGAAGTAGATCGACTGAGATCTCGGCAAGGACTGGATTAGTGTCCCTTTTCACGCTATCAATCGTAACTCTCTTCTCCGAGGAAGGGTCCGAAGTGCCATTCCTTCAATGGAATCTCTGGGTTTCGCGCGTGGGTCGTGAATCGTACAGATTAGTCTAAATACACTGGGTAACTTCCTCCATCTCAAATTTTGATGATGTAAGTGTCCCGTCCTCCTTTAAACACGAAAGTTTAATTCTGCAGTCCTGAAGATCCCGTCGGCATTTCCTGGACTTGTTTTGTTCAGGGCTGCCCTCACTAGTCTTCTTTCCCTGTATAGGCTTCTGGTCGAGTCCTGAGTTCCGTCTTGTTCTGAGTAGACCTTCACTGCATCTGAAATGCGAGTGGAGGCATCCATCGCAGCGTACACAATTTGCTTCAAGCTTTTTGCGCGATGTTGAGAGCTCTTCTCCAACTTTTGATTGAATCTGATCCTGCCGCGGTTAAGTACCAAATTTTTGTCCTTGTTATTATTGCCACCTATTGCCATTACCCGTATTTCAGGGTGCAAAACTTCTCGACAAGAAAAGAAGTGGTACGTCTACTTGCTTCTTGACTCGATCTCTTGTTTAGAGAGAGCCATAAAGGTCATGGGTGGTAATGACCCCGTGACTACGAAATAGCCGACCATCTTGAGGATTCCAGCTAGATACTTCGGCGAGAGTGACTGTATCAAGAATTTTTCAAACAAATCCTTGAACCAAAGACCAACAATAGGCATACACTCGTCTTGGGAGTACTTACTAAGGTCCTTAAGCAGTGGAATCTGCATAGTGTGGTTTGCAGTTGGAACGGATTTGAGATGATAAATTATGTATGATTCAGAAGTAGCGACAGACATACTATCACGTTGGAATGAAAATAAGTGGGTATTTTAGGGAATTATTGTAGGGAACGGGTCTCCGCCACGCAATGAATCACTTTTGGCTCTTTCAAATTCGAAGGTTTTGCACACTGTTTTATGTTCATACAGGTGCTGGTCGTAACTCTGCCAAGCCGAGCAAAAGAAAAGGTCAAGGCAAAAAAACCAAAATTTCAAAAGGAAAAGGGAAATCAAAATCAAAAGAGAAAACAAAAGTAAAACGTAAATCAAAAGAAAAAGAGAAATCAAAAGCAACAGAGAAGGAAAAAGAAAAAGGAAAGTCTGAAGCACAAGGAACTGATGAACCATTACAACTTACCATAAGAATTCCTACCCAGTATGACAAAATTGTGATTGATGCGGCCGCTCAAGAGGCTCAGGTAAGGATCTAGCCTGATTGCATTTGATGATGAGATGCATCGGAGCCGATTAGAACTCCCTGCTCGGCTCACAATCACAAATGTTTGGGTTGAAGATAGCCACTAAGTCTTGTTGGAGGATGGGAAAATAGCAAGCCTGCCAATCAAGGGGAATCGAGAGGTACCTATAAGTAATGTGGGAAGAATAGTAAGCCTTCTGCCGGACGGAAATGTTCGCGAAGCATGTGGTTGCAGCGGTCAGTGACAAGTATTATCATAAAAAATTAAGCATGGTCAAGAAAATAATCGCGGTTTTCACGATTAGGTTCTTCCGTCCTTTCCTTGTTTTTTCCGTTTTTTTTCTTTCGTCGTCATAATCTCGTACAACTACGCTTTTATAAATTTCAAGAAGCTTCATTTTTCTCAAATTTGGCTGATTTTCACCGCTTTCATCGCTGTCTTTGTAATATCCTGCACCATCACTTCCATTATTTCACTTGAACTGAGATCTTAAAACAGTTGTGAACTGTGCCTTCAAACATGTTGAATCAAGCACACTAACAATAAACTGAAAAAACTGTTAGCTCTGGAGGCATGCTGGGTGGTTCAGGCCTTTTTCAACGCAAGGGCTGTGACCACAGAACATGCACATTATTCGACGCGCAGTACCGTTTCCACCAGCCATGCGGTGCTCCCATCGATTGCCACGTGGAGTTGGGCGCCGCGAAGTGTGCGCACAATACCTCTGCCATTCTTCTCCATGTCATGATATCACTCGGTCGGCTCCTCTTCTAGCGCATTGCTGTCGTTCCAGTCTTCCCTCAACCGGCCTCGTCAGCAAGAGGGACAACGAGACGCAGGCACCAGCACCACCGCACTGCCATTATCGGAGGGTAGAAATGGAGGTTCCAAGGCACAATGAGAGCGATGCATGGAGAACGAGCTGCTTGCTGTCGCCTGGCAGCTATGATCACCTGCAGCTCGTGACGACGCACGGACCAAGAAACCTTAAGAAGCAGCGAGGGAACTCGGACCGCGGAGGCGCACGGTCCGTGCGTGGCACACGTCCGCGGACGCCGTGATCGTCTTCTTCTCCGAGAGCAGCGGGTGCCGAGTCCCCTGGTGGCGCAGGAGCTGCCCGTCGGTTTTTCTGTTTCGTTAATTTGTGTATATATCGCTTACTCATTAGGTTACAATTTCACGTAGTGTGATGCTCATGTAGACAATAGTTTATTTCTTGAGATGTATCACGCACATACTGGCAGAGGGGGTAGTAGGGTCTGCAGGTGCAGGAGGGAGGTGACGCGTGCCTTAACATCTTTCACAAACCCCTCGTTCCGCAGGCTCCAGCATTCACCGCGATTTGAGGGTTGCTTTAAAGAGGATCGCACTGACACATGACAGAGCTATAAAATAGCGCAGGTGAGGACGTTATCAACCTATGCAACGTCCCCATTTCGCGATAAGGTGTATATCATAGAATATCTCTAACGGTTGAATTAGTTCCTCTTTTGTTGCTTTCACTCTTTAGCTTCTACTAGCCTAGCATCTCTTCAGCTGTACATGCTGCCTGATGAATCTCCTGATCTTCGTTTTGTAGGGAGTTCCTCATATAACACGGTTAATGTTGTTGACAAATGGTAAATATGATTTGGAGTAATCATTCCCTGCTACCACATTTATCATTATAGAAACCTGATGGCGGCGAGAGGAAATGAGCTCTGTCGGTCCCGATCTCGAAGTATCAAAGGAACAAAGTGATTCACCATTAAATCGCCAATACTTGAGACGTATAGTGCTCGTAGTTTAATCGGAGGGAATCTAGTAAATATTGTTTTTTCTCTCATATTATTGGCTTAAATCAGTCATTGTCATTGTTAATAAAACTTCTCAACTTGGTTAACCAATAAAGAGTTTCTGCCTTATCATTTTTATCATTTGTCAACACTAGGTGACAAGGAACGCGCAACAAGAGAGTAAAAATGTCGTGTTGATTGCTTTTAACACTTTTCATCATGCTTTATCAGCTGTCATCGTTTCTCCGATCCTTTGATCTTTGTCATACGGTTACGAACTACATTATAAAAAGTTTTTTGATGCAACCATTCTGTATTCGAAAGTGCGTTGGTTCAAGTTTCAGCTTACACACACCATCCATGAAAACAAAGGATATACTTTTTGATCCGCAGGACATAACAAATTCAGCGCTCTTAACTTTTCCACTTTTCACATTTCTTATCACCAGTTGTCACCTCTTATCACCCTTTACCAGCGATCTCACCGCATCTTATATGTCTTGTCCTGTCTAATTGCCAAGGCTTCATCGTTTTAATGAACAGCGTAATGAACCCAATGTTTGCTCTGAACAAGTATTACCACATTCATCAGTATTACCACATTCTGTTTGTGCACATATTCAAGGACGTTCCAATCTAAATCGTCTCGGTTCCGCTGCCGATGTGGATGGCTTCTTAATTCCAGGCTTCTTGCCTCCCAACGCACCCTTGTTTATCTCTATTCGTCCGTTGCTCTTCTTTTCTTTGTTCAGCTGTCGATTATTCTATGCGTCAGTCTTATCTCCCGTGAAATCGAACCCATGCCGAGGGAGCCCATGAATTTCTTGACACATAATGCACACGCACCCACACACATACCTGGGGCATACTTATCCTACTATATATTATACAACATACTCAAGTCTGTGTGTCTGGCCGCGTGTATTTGTGGTATATGTGTGTTAGAAAGAAAACAGAATTGTTATTGTTACATAAACCAAAATTTTTTGAAACCGAACACGCCTACATGCCTAAACGCCACTCTCCCACCACGTTGAGGTAGTAGATCGGCGGGCGGGAGAATCCATGGCTCTGATAGAAAATGTTTTTTGTTGTCGTACGCGCATGCGCAAAGCGTGCTTCAGCTCATTCACGAATAATATCGAGCAGTACGGCTCATAAAATGAGATTTTAAGGGGCTTAATTTGTAAGATTGTTACTAGCACAATTCATTCAATGAAAAATATTGCAGGCCTGCTGTAATGCCGGATATGTTGGTCAGGAAAATGTTAAATTTGTGAGTGTGATTGTTTTTTGTCATATACCAGTCGGGTCGCCCGGCTTATGCCGGGCCTAATCCCTTACTCTCACAAAGTAGCTAGAAAATGTAGTTAGGAGGAGAAGGCTGTATCACCTTTATTTAACACTGTACTGAGGGCTTCAGAGGAGGGTTAGTCGACCATATCTGTGCTGAGAGTCGGATCTAGGCAGAGGAATATAGTTTTTGCCTAAGTCTCAAGAGGAAAGGAGCCTTGGGTCTGGAATGAGATGATTAACTCGTGCAAACAGCTAGGATGGGGTGTGAGTTGAATATCCATCCGATTGACTCACCCACCTCGGTGCTCCTGGAGCTCAGGTCGAAAAACTGTATGTTCTCGGCTAAGAAACGTTTCTGAACCCAGATGTTAGCGCTCAATGTTGAAAACAATGGCGGAGGTCTTCAACTACACTGCAACCTCCGATTATGTGTAGACATACATAGCACGATGCCAGTACCCGGTATAGCTGGGTTCTCGCTATCACTAGACAGACCGACAAACCGACACACCAAGTTACTGCTTTATAAATGAGAGAGATTGTTGTGGTTGGTGGTTGACAAGTTGGTATTTCAGAGCGAGAAAGAACCAAACACGGCTGTCGGCGTTACAGCTAAGGTGATGTCATTCTTATGCACACTCTCTGGTATTCTATGTGGAAAGGTGTCCGGTATTAATCATTTCCCTTGTGACCCGATCTCTTTCTAGGAATGTTTATAGTTTCTCAAATAGTGACAAAGAAATTGGGACGGCCTGTGTTCAGATGATCTAACCTTCCTTTCCCAAAAAGCTATCAGGTTGTTGCGTAATTATTGCGGATTTTTTCCAACAATTTTTATTTTGGAAAAAGATAAGAATATCTAACAAAGACATGTCTAAATAATTACTCCGGAACTTATCCACCACCTCCGTCAAGCACTGTTTCCAATTGGCAAGGCAGTCGGATTCGACAGGCGGAGAAGTTTTGGTTCTTGGAGGCGATACACGCCTTGACAGCGGTCATAAAGTCATCCATTCCGTCATAAGTTCTATTAGCTAGCCAATTCTACAACAATCGGTTGATCTGAATATCCATAGAGTTTCTTTCGATGAATATAACGGATCTAGGAGCACATCCCATTCCTTTCTTGACTTTGGCTGACTGTTCTATCTCGAAAAGTTCGTTGAGATCGCGAAATGACTCTGACAACTTTCGAACTTTCTCGAAGTGGTAGAGCATAATGTGGCGGACATGAAGGTGACTTTCTAGAGTATTTCTGTTAAGGAAAGCGAGAAGATAGTTTCTATGGAAATCCCGATTCTGAAAGTCAAATTTTATTGAGAGAAAAGAAGTCGCGAAAAAATCCGCAATAATTATGCATCAACCTATTATGATCGCATAAATGGTAATTGCCTTAGTGCTGTCAGGAGTGTCAGCGCTACAGATTGCGCTAACAGCTTTACGCTTAGGCTTTGGCTGCTTTCATAGTCCGCCGGCACGCCCGCCGCCCGGCCGGCACGCACGCCGGCACGCCGGCCGGCCGGCGGACTATGAAAGCAGCCTTTCCTTTCCTATAAATGCTGGCTCACAACCTTTCTTCCACTCGACAAGTAGAAGTACAGACAAGTAAGACTTCTTGAAATAGATCGAAGGTAGTATTAAAAGGTAGGGTTAATCGCTCCTACAATTTTATTCATCTTGTCCCAACAATGTCGATCCTTCGAAATCTATATTATGGATTACTCCTTCAACTGTTGAACTTTTTATGAATACTCACCAACACGAATTTTTAAATTTTTTGATATGTATTGACGAATTAGTTGGTGTAGTGCAAGTGACACAGTCTCTCACACACATGGTCGCGGGTTCCAATCCAAGTCCAATTGAACATAATGTCCCGTCTATTTCAACATGTATCCCAGGCCGTGCCAGTGGTCGATGCTCAAACAAATGCATGAATAC